AGTGGGTCGGTAAAATCTGGTCTGGATGGTTTGGTATTTGATAAGGTAATCCTTATACAAACACGCGAATGCTTCTGATTTATAAACTTTTCTTTTCTTCCTCTTACACTCCGCATGTGTTCACTCGGTGAATCGGTAGAAAGATCGGTATACTTTTTAACTGATCATTTTGTATCCATTTTGATAATAGATCAAATCAAGACCTGAAAGATTCTAAACTAACTACAACTTTGCTTTTCAGGTTATGCGCCTCAAGAAAACTTCTCTTGTTCATTATACGAGTAGTCACGTGGTTAACTTGATATCCAAAGATTTGGATTCTATTGGTTCATGTGTCTATTCGGTACCATTCCTCTTCACCGCGCCTGTCGAGCTACTGATTATGTCTTTGTTATTGCTTGTGATGGTTGGCTGGGAGGTTCTGTTGGGAGTTTCCTACATCATGTTCTGTACATTTTTACGCTGTGGGGTGGGGAAAGTGTACAAAAAAATGCACCTCGGCACTGCGTTTTTCAGTGACCAGCGGATCGCCCTGTTGAGCGAGGTTATTTGTGGTATAAGAGTTATAAAAATGAACGTGTGGGAAGAAGTGTTTGAGAAACTGCTCGGGAATAGTCGCAGGTTTGTGTCACGGATACTTTCCATTTACAATTAGTCGGATGGTCAGTCAGTCAGTCAGCATGTCAGTCAGTCAGTATCTTCGTCAGTCAGTATCTTCGTCAGTCAGTAAGTCTATCAGTCAGGCAGTAAGTCAGTCAGTCATTCAGTCAATTGATCAGTCAGTCAGTCAGTAAATGAGTCGGTCATTAAGTCAACCAATCCGGTAACTTTTAAACTGAGTTATCTGTCAACCAGCCTCTGGTCAGTCAATCGGTAAGGCAAACTGTTAATGTCTCAGTGACATGTTGAGTCCACAGGCAAAAGCTAATTAAGCAACCGAACAGATCCTCCTTACTTACTTGTTTTCTTAATTTTATTCTTAATATACGTGTTTTTCTTTCCAGGAAAGAGCTGCCTTTCATCAGGAATAAAACGCTGGCTCTTGGTGCATTTGTATCCGTTCAACAAGCCGTTCCCATCATAGCCTCTTTAGTTTCCATAGTAACATTAATGATGAGTGGAAAAGAACTCACCCACGAGAACGTATTCTTGATCATATTAGTAATGTACATACTCGAGTCTTCATGCGGTGAATCTTTTGCCAGAGGAACAGATGTCCTTGTAAGAACACTTGGCCTGCTCGATAGAATAGAGAGTTTTCTCCTAATAGACTTTCCGTTGTCATCGTTTTACGAAAACGTAGCAAGTCGTACGAGTGAGGTCCCTCCCTCCGACAAACCTCCGAGTCTTTCTTTGATTGGAGTTTGCTGCGAACGCGAATGTGAGTTGGTGGATATTGATCTAAACTTCGTCACTTTTAACTGCGAAGGTGCACAACTTGTCGCACTCACAGGGCCCCCTAAGGAAGGGGCCGTTACTTCACTGTTCTGTGAGGCTATACTGAAAGAAGTTCCACTTTCAAGGGGGCGTATAGTCCAACATGGTGACCTCGCCTACGTTGGCCAAAAGCCATGGATATTTTCAGGAACTGTTCGGGAAAACATTGTTTTCGGGGAACCTTACATCAAAGAAAGCTATTCAGCTGTTTTAAGAGCTTGTAAACTGAATGAAGCCATGCAGTGTTTACCGGATGGTGATATGACTAAAATTGGCCATGGTGGTTACAAACTAGCACTTAGTCAGCAGGAACTCATAAACGTAGCACGCGCATCTTACTCATCAGCGTCCATCGTCCTAATGGATAATCCTCTTAGTCACGTAAGCATCTCAGTAGCCAATCAGGTCTTCGATGATTGCATCCTAAGTTTTCTCTCGTCTCGTCTGCGTGTCGTGGTGACGGGTAGAGCAAGTTTCCTCGAGAGGTGTCCACGTGTGTTGCTGATGGTTGATGGCCTTATTATCAGAGAAGGATCACTCGATAACATTCGGGAGTCTGGTGAAAATCTCACGTGGCTGAGGACAGACACTATCCATGAGAGAGAAAACAGTGGAGTGGTCCAACAATCCTTGTCTGGTGGAATCCTTTCCGCGAGTTTGAGGGAACCAAGCGTCAAAAATATCACTGATCGAGATGCTGAAGGATTTTCTATCTATCTGAGATATGCGAGGCAAACAGGATGGCTTCCATCACTGTCAGTTGTAGGTTTCCTGTTAACATTAACTCCAGGAGGTAAGGAATGTCTATTCAGAAATATCTGCTTCGAACCCTACCTTAAAATGATAAATAATCCACAATATTTATATGCTGAAAGCTGTATTCGATAACGTTGTTTTCCTCTTTCAGTCGTCCTCGCAGGTCTTGGAATATGGTTTGCACGAATTGCAGATCTATCTCGTGATTACCACTACCACCACTTCAGTTTGTCTGCAATAGTTGTGGGAGCCTATGTCATACTGCTTCTTCTTAGAGCTCTGTTTCTGCTCTTGTGTGGCCTTCGATCGTCCATGCGCATCCACGACAGAGCTATTTCTACACTGCTTAAGACATCAGTCCAACATTTTGAAAACGAAGAGAAGGATGCTTTCCTAAGAGTATTTTCTAAAGATGTAGAATGTTTGGACGAGAAGCTCCCCTCCGACATTCTGCAGTTGGCACAGTCGGTGGTAGAACATGCTGCAGTGGCTGTTATGATCACGCTAGTAGCTCCGTGGACGGTGTTTGCTTTCATACCCGCATCTCTTATCTCATTTGTGGTTGGGAAAAAATATCTCTGGTTGGAGCGACAGGCCAGAGATAATGAAAACAACACCTTAACGCCCCTGATGATATATTTTTCGGATACTATGATGGGTGCGGTCACCATTCGAGCCTCTCAAAAGGAAAGCTACTTCATGAAAGAGTTTTTCAGGTAAGTTTTGTTATTGATGTCACGACCTACCTCCATGTAATTGAGGATATCCTGTCTATCATTTCGGAATTCATTTTACTTCAGTCGGACAAACGTTTCAGTCAGGGAACAGTAATTGATTATTGCCTAGGGAGGGGAAGGGAGGTCGGAGGATTTGCGGGGAGATCACATGGCTTTCAGGGGGGGACGGAGGGTAGAATCGGTCGTCACTAACAGAGTGTGAACAGGGGAGAAGAAAAAATTGACTGCCGTCATTAAAATACTACAGAACCTTAGGGGAGGATCAGATAAATTTTATCGTAACAAAACCAAAATCATAAGACCCCCACCCAGCATGTTTCTTTTAAACAAATCCGTACAGTGAAGTCCCATTGTCTCGCACTCCTGTTCTCTCCGCGCCTCGTTTCCTCGAAATTAGGCCTCTTGTCGGGCGTGGACCGTCCCATTTTCTTCTGGATATCTCGACGCATTTTCACAGATCTCCAAGAGGTTTGCGATCGTACCGTGTGCCGTATTGCTAACTCGTAAAACTTTCTGATTATCCAGATTGCAAAATCAGCACATGACGGCAGTATGCATGCGGTCAGCGGCGGAACAATGGTTGGCAGTGAGACATTTAGCTGTGATGTCATTGACCATGTGTGTTGCCACTGTGGTAGTCATCTTCACAAGCAACAACAGTAAGTGTAAGTCATGATTGACTGATAAATGAAACTAAATAACTCCTAAATGACTACGTCGAATGTTTAACTTGCATCCCAACTTGACTTCTGAAAGTTAACGGACTCTAATGGAACCCGGTAGATATGACCGCCTTCCGTCAGGAATATTTTAGTGGTATTAAGGAGATATTAGATGGGGTTACACTGAAGAACTGTTGCCCCCCCCTCTCCTCTGGAACCGAAGCATTTGTAGCTAATTCTCCAGCTTATTTGCAAACATTTCGTCAGATGTGACTAAGTTACTTTTGGTTTTTGTCCGGGAAAAATTGAAGGGAATCGTTGAGGCAAAACCAGCTTACCCCAGCTAGGGCTTGAAGGTACGGTATTGAGTAACTAACTTCTTTGAAGCATTTACCAACATACATAGTGCTGGCTGACCAGGAACGAATTTTTTCTTTTTCAGCTTTTGTCGCTCTGTCGTTGACATTTGTCAGACAGCTTGTTGTAGGAATTGCTATTATTCCATTTCTCGTCAAAAACATAGAACAGGACATGACTTCAGCGGCCCGATTGATGAGTTTCCATGACATGCGCTCCGAGTCTAGTCACCAGAATGACACGAAGCCACCCGAAGATTGGCCGAAGGAGGGCGCCGTGTGTGTCAGCGATTCCTTATTGTCTCACACCTACGGTCGTCGACGGGTATCATTTGAAACGTTGTCTTTAAGCATTGAGCCAAGAGAGAAAGTTTGTATCATAGGCCAAAAAAACGCAAAGACGATCTCCTTTGCTTCTAAACTTATGCTTCTGTCAAAAGGATCCCAACAGGAGGTATGGGTCGATGATATTTCACTAGCAACGATTAATCTCCGAGAAGCGAGGAAAGCTTTCTGCACACTTCAGCAAACACCATTCATTTTTACGGCTTCAATACGAAAAAACCTTGACCCGGAAGAGAAACATGAAGACGAAGAGTTGTGGAACGTTTTGGATACCGTGACAATGAAAGAATATGTGAAAGGACTGCCTGGGGGGCTAGACTACATGATGACACAGTCTGTGAACTTCTCCAATTCTCGGCTGCTGTTGTTGTCTCTCGCTCGTGCGATACTACAGAAGAAGAAAATCGTGATTTTTGATGGAGTTGTCTCAGGCGTCGACTTCACCACATTGCGCATAATCCATAGTGTTGTCAAGAACCAGTTTGCCAATTCTTCAGTGATCACGGTTGCGTATGGACCTATTGGACTGGAAACAATTCTGCACCACGACCGCGTTGTTGTTATGGAACAAGGGAGGATTGTGGAAATGGATAGTCCAAATGCTCTACTTGCCCGGAAGGGAAGCTTACTGTCAGAATTTCTTGCCCCCACGTGACAGTCACATTGTATACCCGAAAGGCTCCGCAGCGGTGCCCGAGACTTTGAAATTAGTAATTTACTTTTAATAATAATCAAACATATAATAGTCAAAGAATACTCTGCTTTCCATGTTCGTGAGTACACCAGCCCTTTCAGTATTGATTTCAAATGTATAAAGCTACGTTGCCTGTAATTTTTTTGCCAGTTTGTATTTCAGTGTCATCTGTTCAAATGTTTTTAAGTGTTCCATCACTTCTAAAATGTCAGCTTTGTTTTTAAATAACCAAAATCAGAGCAAGTAGACCAGAAGTAAATTTTTCAAACTGTCTTGAGGACGTAATTAGTGATTCTCTTTTTATCTGGGTGACTGCATCTGTCCAAAGAATTTAGCGTTTCAGAGGGAAAATAGTTGTTAGCTTTTTTCTTTCTCATACCCAATCCTTTTGAAAACGTATTTATACAGATTTAAATAAAATTACTCTGGTCGGTTTTCAGCTATATTTTCCACTCCACCTCTAAGTATAAGATACATATCATAAAATCTTAAGATATCAAAGCGTCCTCACCTATTACTAGCACTAAAAAAATCATTTTCAACGTCGTGACAGTTTTCTATTGAAAAACTCAGCTTATATTCTAAACTGGGAACTGTTTAAAGTAAAAAGACTAATATTAAGGTATAACTGAGCGATTAAAATTTTTTTCGATTAAAATGTGGTAGCTTGCAATACACGAATCTTAGGGCGCTGTCGAAAAGGCTGTCGTCTGGCAGAAGTAATCCTAATGACTGGAAGCAACAACGAACCAACTACCTGTAGCTGGTTGAAAGGAATGGAAACAAGTCGCGATTGATTCTAGTCATAGTTAGTCATAGTTAGTAGAGTCCCCTCTACTAACTATGTTCTAGTTTTGAATCTGATCGTTCGTGAAGGTGGCATGACTTAGGAAACCCATCACGGCACACTAGATCATCTAAGCCCTTTGAAGTAAAAATAATAATGAACCTTGACCTTTTAGTTTTAAGAACGTTATTTTCTGCGCTGAGTGTATGGCTTCGGTCGATCCCTAACTAAGGAAGTTCTCTTTACGTGATCGCGCCTGTAAGAGTCCTCTCGACTTCTTCTAGGTCGACTGGAGCTTGCATATGTTTCATATTCCCTACCATATTCACAGTAATTATCAGAATAAAAATAACCATCACCGTGATCATTATAATTCCTTTCGGGATAATTACGATGGTCACGTTCAGGATTATAATAAGTTCTATTAGAATCATCGTAGCGAGAATAAGTATCATGATCATCTTCCCTGTGTCGTTCGCTTCTAAACCTCCTTTCCGTGTAATGTCTACGTTGGGTTGGGGTGCCTGTAGGTTGATAACGATCGACTTGTTGATAACGCGATCTGAAGTCGTTGTAACCACTTGTACTTCCCCTGATGTAGTTAGAAGATCTCGAGTTTGTTTTGTTCTCTTCAAATGCGTCGTTCCTTGAGGCATATCTTGAGTTGGTATGGAGATGTCTTGGTCTGTCAAATTGAATTTCGTCCTGTTTCCGGTTATCCCCAACACGAACGAAAGACGTGAAATCGCTATTAAAAGTGACAAAATTTCATACAAATTTAAATGGTATGCAGGAAGTGGCTTGCCATACATTACTTTGTGACGTGCATTTATCTTAGCGTAACAAAATCGTGTAAAAAGAAATTGAATAGTTTACTCACAATTCGGGGATTTTTTTATGAAGATCCTCCAGGTAATTCTCACGCTCCATATCATGTCCTCGAGCTTTATTAAATGCTGGAAAAGTAATTAAGAACAAAAAAAGTTTCTAAGTGTTATTCTAAATTCATTCATCACAACAGTAGGTCTCAACAGGTTGGAAATAAAAAGCAAGTTAGCAGATTACTTTCAGAAACAATCTGGTCAAAGAAGAGATGACGGCGAAAATAGCTATTTTCCTTTTAGGTAAATGAGAGGTTTACTCAGTAGAGCGCTTTTCGATTGAGTATCGTAAAACCAAAACTAGAGTAACCACAACAGCCAATCAGAAGAAAGAAAAATACCTTTGAGAGCCAATGAGAACTCAAAGTAAATCAAGGCGACTGTGCGGGAAAACGAGGGCGACCAAGTTGTAGTAGTGTTAGCTTTGAATTTGATTGGTTGAGAGAGTAGCGGGAGTTTTCAGGACCAATCACAGAGCAAAGTCACGCAAAAGAGAATCAATCTCTGATTATTCAACTTGTGTAACACTCATTGTAGCGTTATCTGAAAAGATTTTGTCTTTGACCTCACTGCTTATTTTACCTTTGATAGCCTCTTCAGGGGTGTATCCTCTGCATTCAATAAGATATCTAAAATGAACAAGTGGATTCATTACATCAGTTGAAACTCAAATGTTGTTCTTCGTTGAAATAGAATTTTCCAATCACATAATGAAATCACTTTTTGTACTATTGTATGTCACTTCTTCTCACCTACAAACTACATAACCACTTCTGTTTAGACCATGAGTACAGTGGACCCCAACAACAGCATCTGGAGAAAAATTAAAGATGGTAACATATCATATGGGATTCAACAGACTAAAGGAGTAAACTGTTTGCACCATTATGTTTCTCACCTGAGTTACTCCTCTTATCCAGAAAGCTGCAGACCTCAGTCTTAAACCTTTGGAAGAATGTAACATTGCTTTTTAAATGTACCAAGAATGGTTATCCAGATCCCAATTACATTATTCAAATTATTCCTTACCTTGTTACCACATTTTCATCTGGAATTTCTTTTCCAACACATTTGATCTTGCAATGAAGTATGCCATGGTCAGAGAGCTCCTTTAACAATATATGATCAATAAATCTATTACTGTTTTGGTAGAAATCATGATGCCTAACAACAAAGCTTGTCTAATTTTCAAGATCTTTCAATGTGAACACCATTGCAATAACCTTTAACTTATTTTTCCTCCCACAGAGTTGCTGTATTAAATGTATGAAAAATATGTATGAAAAAAAGAAGCTAACATTATTCTTTGATCTACATACCCTGTAATTATAATATCTGTAAGTGTTAGTGAAGTCCACAACCATTCCAAGTTTTATATGCTTTCGGTTGAGGCAATTCAGCAGATCCATCGGTGTAAACCTTAAAAAAGATTAAAAACTGATGAAAGATATTGAAAGCGCAGTTTTTAAAGTGTGTGATGAAAAAATGTGAACAGAAATTTTAAAAAATTAGCATCCACATGTCTAGTAAATAACACTGTACCTACCTTTCATGTGGTTTGATTCCATTGTCTTGATCACTTTCATTGTCGTATCGCTGCAACAAGATAGTATTTCTAAGTAAATTCAAAGCCCTGTCAGTTCTAAGATGTAGGGTAGTGCTAAAAAAGACAGCAGTTGGTGATTGTTTTCAGTACTAATATCTTGACAACATGAGCGATACTTCATTTCAGAAATCACTAACATGTTGTTATTTCACCTTACATGTGACAAAGGTGTCTTAAATGCAATAATTCTCTCTCTTGGTATGGGTACCCCACATGGTTTATAGTCTCTCCACCTGTTATAAAATAAATCAAAGTCATTGCTGATCATTGCTGACAAACAATCTTAACATTTCCTAACAAATTCAAGGGGTTTTAAAAGGTTTTTTTAAAATACGTCAAACAAACCTGTCTTTTAACATCATATGTGAACAAAAATATGTTCATTTTTGACCACTTGGTTTGTCAGAAGGGGGTAAGATTATAAAGAAAAAGAGGTGCTGCATTGGTGGGGGGGGGGCACTACAAGATAGTTTAGTTTTGTCAAATGAATTGGCAACTGTCAAATTAAATTGGCCACCGTCAAAAGTTTCTGAAGATGCCTTTTTGAGTCTCAGCCCTTTGTAGTATGCCACTAATCCAAGAAATAGGAGGATAGTGTGCTCCTGACAAGAGGAAAAAAAAACATCTTTCTCTACATAGTTGGATAGTTATCAATTTTGTAGCATGCAGGTCCAGCTTACTTAAATCGTGATACAGTTCACTGAAAAAGTAGTTCCTTCTCATATCCAGATGGTTTTTATGGTATCTTTTATAATAGTCATGTCTTTTAGAAAGGCATAACACCATTCCATTTAATGATGATAATGACTGATGACGTTCTTTAAGCCTTTTACACCATAACGTCAGTATGCATCTTCTCCACGCTGTTCTCTACACATTTTTTAAGGTACTGACATGGAAATTTAATCAACAGTCAACAGCTGCTACAGTTGGTGATCATTTCATTTACTCTCGTGACTTTATGTTTGATTCAGGGGTGATTAAGTGTAGAGACACTTAATCAATCTATAATGGAAGATTGAAGACTCATGAAGAACACCACACAAACCAACTTGGTCAAAGTTCCTTTTGATATAAAGAGGTAATAAAAATATATACTCACTTATCAGGTATCCTTTTGTCAATAACTACCTCTGTATTCATTTTCCTGCAAAATCTAAGCGAAGTTAAAGATAAAAGCCTTCCTAAATACACAAATCCCGGAAGCTCTCGTGAAAAGCGAAACACCATCGCCGAAAACGAGAAGGAATGGGAACAAAGCGAACGCGATGGAATGCCCAGCGGTTTCTTTCTTACGTGCTAGCGAAAGCTCATGTCCAATCTTCTGACGAGCTAACGGGCAGTCATCTCTCCTCGCATGTGGGGCTGTTTCTGCTGTTCTCATTCTCTATCTTTCAAGTTTACACTAGCAACTCATAGGAAATAAAGAAGAGGATAAGTATGCAAAGAGCACCTCAGCCAAGCTGTTTTGACCGGGTTAAAGTTGGCTTCATGATCGGATTTGCTATTGGAATGAGCTCTGCTGCGCTCTTTGGAACCTATTCTGCGTTCAAGTAAGATGCTAATATTACAACTATAACTTTTGGACCTGTAGGTCCTATAAGTACCTAAACCTAGATTTAGAGGAATTCTTTCACTCTATTTTACTTGTACTTAATTTTCATCTGTTCATATGGAAATCGCAGCCCGGTTACTGAGATGAAAAAGATGTCGTCTTTCGATGCAAGTTCATCACAGTTACACTCCAGATAAAGTGTTTATATGGAAATGTTTTATGTATAAATTTCCTAAGATCCTGGATAGAATCAAAAGAAACGGCTAACCACCATACCCCTCCCAAAGTAATGATGAAGATATGTGAATACCGAAATGTGTCATTTGATGTGTCATTTTGACGTCAATAAAATAGGAGGAGGGGGAGGGTTTGTGGGGTTGTACAAATGTTAGTTATTTTGTCTTAGGTCACAACCTGGTTAGGCAGTAAACAAAACTTTTACATCAGTGGGCAGGCTCAATTGCATTGTAGCATTTTTATCTTACTTTTATGACAAAGGAGATTATTGTGAAGCAAGATTTTAGTAACTGAAATTGTCCAGATGATCATGTTTATAAGCAGAGGTCCTACTCAGAGTATCACTCTTTAGATTGATTGCTAGAAAAGTGAAAGAAACACTGCATAAAGCTAGAAAACTTGACACTTATTCTTTCCCCGCCAGATATGGACTAAGAGGAAGAGAGTTAGTCAGTAGTGTCGGCAAGATCATGCTTCAAGGAGGAGGAACGTTTGGAGTGTTCATGTCTGTTGGCACAGCTATCAGATGTTGACTTCTAACAGAGTGGGATTTTTTATTCTGTAACGAACACCAGTCATTGCTAAGGCTAGGATATCATTATGTGAGAGATGCTGGCAAACTTTCAACACAGTCTGTGCTGTCAATGTTTATAATGATTAGAACACTGTATCCTGTCATATATGACATAAGTTCAGCAGAAAACTAAGGAAAAAAAGATGAAAATAAAATGTTACCCATAGAAAAGGAAAAGTCAAGTCAAATCATTTGTTTGTGTCAATATCTTATCTGTGTCATCTTTTCTTGATTAGTTTTTGTTTAAATTGTGGCAATTGGTTGTAGTTAAAGAATTTACTATCTTAACTCTTTAAACCTCAATATCTGTGTGTATATTCTCCATACTGTTGATCATTTCCCTCATTCTTGTGACCCTAATGTGTGACTCATGGGTGATATTGTATGGAGAAATTAGGTGCTAGTCATTCTTAGGGGTGAAAGGATTAATTGCAGTGGAGCTCTAGCCTTATTTAAAGACAATACTTTAGACCTTTTTAATTTTTCCAAGGAAAAGTCTTGGTATGAAAATCAAGGTTTTCCATTTGAAAACAAAATTGTGACATCTGGAAAAAAAAAATGAATTTGGGAACTCCTACCAAATGAAGAGGATGGATAAGATTAAATTTATTATTCATGGACTTAAAGCAACAGCAATGATTCAAATAAATTTCACTGTATATATTGGTATTCCAATCTTTATGTGCTGTTTTTGCTGTGGGAAACCTTTTGTATGACACAGCTCAAAACAGTAACATTTATTTGCTAAAGATGTTTATTTATACGTTTCCATAAGCTTTAGTCTGTATCCTTTACATTGTTGTATGAAAGAAGTGCTCTTTTTACTGGTTTGTTATAACAGAAAGATTTACTGACACCTCTATACCAAAGCATTGTGAACCAGTGTCCCTCTCCCTTTCCACTAGCCACTGGTTACTGTCAAGCTATTCACTGTATTTAGTTACTTTGTTATATGACAACAATTGTTTCACAACACTCAGAGTAGTTTTGATGCAGTTAGTTATGTTGGCATTGCAATTTAAGCAGTCCAGCCTACTAATTTTTGGACACAAACAATAGTAATCTGTTATCTGTTTCAGTTCCTTTCATCCTTCATACTTAATGGATCATCTGAACCACAAACGCTTTGACAACCCTTTCAGTAGTGCTATGTCAGCAGCGTTAGTTTCATGTTTTTTTTTCTAAATCTAATTATTCAACACACCGAACATTTGGGGTTTTAGCGACCTTTTCTCGCTGGTATAAATAGGAAGATACATCCATAAGACTTGCAAAGCTACATGATTTGAGTGTGAAAAGAATTCCTGAAAAAAATTAAAATTTGACATTCCATCCAATATGGAGCAACCTTTCTCTGGTTCGCGGCACAAAAAATTGTACTAGTAAACGAATCTCTTTGGAGTTGTTCACCTCAGGGAGTCAAAGCCAAAAGAGGTCACTATTTTTATCTCAGTCACTGTCAATACTATGGCAGTTGCGGTGTAGCCTCGTACGGTAAACCTGGCGAAAAAAAAAATTATTTACCTTCTACCCTATAACTTTTGTGAGGTTCAGCTGTGTACATGTTAAAATCTTTATTATGTTAATTAGCAGAATGATTTGAAACCAGTCTTAAGCGGCACGTTGCTATAATTGGGAAGATGGATGCATTATAGATCCGAGTTGGAAATACAATGATGAATAAAGTAGAATGGAACGACTTATAATATATTGTCCAGTTGTTCATACACATAACTCTGGTTCTGCCATTTTGACGTTTTCCTTGGATCTTCGTAATAACTTTCATGTCAAATTTGCTGTTAAGTGTTTCATTTCGTGTTACTGGTGTCAAGAGCACTTCGCTTTTTTTCCTCCTAAGATACGTTGGAAATTTGTTCCAGTCATTTCAATTTTTGCGAGCTGTCGATAATTTATTTGAATTTTTGGTTCAAAGAAATCTGCAATTGATAGTAAAAAAAGAAATAATTCTATTCGGGCCCAGAGATGAAACTCAATACAGACTTAGTTCAAAGTCCATACCAAAATAGAACGGTAAAACAAATTCTGCTTTGAGCTATTCTTTGAACACAGAAATATTCAGCAAAGTGTTATGCAATATATCTTAGAACTGGATGTACTGCAAATGGAAACATGGTCTTCACGTGAATTGTTAAAGAGCGCTAAAACTGGGTGACACGAGAAAATAAACTAATCGATATTAGTGTATTGTTGCTTCATTGAATCAGTGAAGCTTTTTTTTCTATGACTGAGCGTATGTCGGCTTTTTACGCTTTGAAATGAAGGGAAAATTAAAGGAAAAGAAATGAAATATGGGTTTTTGAAGTGTTTTATGCACGGATGGTCACCAGGTGGTTATTGAGGTCTATTTTTAGCATCGTGCTCTTGAAATATCCATCCGGTCATTGTATTGGACTGGCATCGATTCATCACCTAGAGACCACCTCTTCACTTTTTCCCGCTCCAATCGAATTCAATTTTAATTTGTTAATGTAAAAGAAATCGGTGTGTCTCACATCATCTTGCTGAATTCAAACTCTCGCCTTGCTTATCCGCGTACACCTGTTTTAATGGAAGGGATCAATCGACGCGAGTCTTTTCAATTTGAAAAAGCGTAGTTAATGGCATATTATAGAGCTCGAGGTTATTAACCACAATTAATTTCTTTTCTATATTGACCACTAATTCATATCTTAGGGTGAAGTTTTTGAAAGACATTTAAAAATCGTGCCGATGTTGTACAAGTAGTTGCTGCTCTTTGTTGGCAAATTTTAGACGCTTTGTTTTTTCGTGTATAATAATATTCTTTTTTTTAAACGATAGCGAATTCAAAGATTATTCAAGCTTCCTTGGCCGAGATAGTAAGCAAGATCTCTCCCTCCCAGAATCACCAGAAAACAACTCATTAAAATGTAAGTTGAACGAAAGAAAACCTTTCCTTTATTTTAAGGGCGTTCATTGCTAATTATGGCTTCTTTTATTCCCCCCGGCTTGGTTTCAATTTGCATTTTTAGCTTTTTAATTCTGTATTGACTTCCATCGTCTTCGTCAAAAAGTCTAGCCTTATGACAGGTTATTTCGGCGGAGTATTGGAGGTAGAAAATGGTTTCTGAAATTTTTCTTTGGAATTAGGAATTTTCTATTTCCGGTGGATTAGCGCGCGGATGAACTGGGCATGAAGTTTGTTATTATCAACAAAGATGGTAGATCAGGCACTGACTGAACGCTAAACAGATAAACTTTTTTATTACCATGTAGATCTTTATTGTCGAACCAGTCCTGTGCCATACGTCCTACTACCAAGATTATGCTTTTTCTGCCAATCTGTTGTGCCGCTGAAGGAAGAAAGCAGGGCAGCTTAGTTCTTTTTGAAGGGCTATGAATTTCAGCTCGTCTTCGGCAGCCGCTAGCAACGATGGCATCAACAACTCTTTCCAAAGACTCTCTGTTACTCAAATTGCCCCAACGGACATAAAAAAGAACATTTGGACTCTCAAAAAAGCGTTCAAAAGTGTAAGTTTAACCAGAAATTCGTGCTTGAAACCTCAACATGTTCCCGGCAGCTTTGGGCATTTTGAGCAAGGTGTTCCTTTGTGCGAGATTTTCACCGATATCGGCCAGAAATTTCTTGATCGCTCAAAGATTGTTTTGGCGAGAGAGTGCCTGGTACGCCTTGAATCTTCCACTAAGTTTGTACAAGAGCTAGAAGAAACAGTGGAAAAGTATATGGCCTATTTAGATGGTGAAATGCCAATTCCAAGCGAGTTCCCATTCAAAGTTGAAAGATTTCACGACATTTGCCATGCAGCAAAAACACAATGTATGTACCGACTGGCGATAAGAAAACTTATCTTTTCCGATCCATGGCTTCGCAAATGTGTGCCAGACATGCTGGAGGACTTGGAAGTGGTGAATAAAGCGCTCTCGCAATTAGCAGATACGAGTATATCGCTCATTTCAATTATTTTATCGTGCGTGTTGCGCCTTGCCGAAAAATGCAAATGGTGGTTGAGTCAGCAAGGTTTAAGTGCTGTTTGCCAGGGAATTGAAGATTTCAATCGCCTTTTTGAGTACACTAGAAATTTTCAGAGCGACGAAAGAGAACTTTTAAGTGTGAGCGAGATTAGAAATTTTGTGCAGTCGAAGGGTCGAGAAACTGCAGTTTCAACTACAGCTGTTTCTAGTGTTTGTTTATTGTCACTGAACAAACTTTTGAATGGCGTTGCTTGTGAACGTTCTCGTATTTTGGCCGGTCACGTTTATGAATTGGTAAGCGAACATCAGGAGGTTACTCGGACGTTAAAGTACGACTTTGCTACAAACTTCGAATGGAAAGACTTTGGGGTGGTATGTACTGGAGGGAATGTAAGACTTGAGGGAGGTACACTCAAAAATGGAGTGTTGTCAGTGTTAAGCCGCAACCAAATCCCGCTCCTGAAACTCGAGCCGGACTCTCCATTGCTTTCATTTGATTCAGAGGAGCAGAAATTTTTCAGTAATTTAATATCACAACTTGCTACCTCAACAACACTTATCTTAAGCCGTCATGTTAGTGGTGAGAGGAAAAATGTGATTCAGTTGCCGCCATTAGAGCAGCTGACCTCAAGTTCAAGGAGTGAAGATGCTGATCTGCAGGGGACATCAACAGCTGAGGAGGCTGGAGGGTCAACAAGTTCATTACTGCACCATCAGGAGGGTCATGGCATTCTCAGGCACAGCTCAAGTCCAGGATCACCCAGACTCAACAAGCGTGTTCAGTGGAACGCACCCTTAGACTCTGAAACAACAAAGCAGTTACATTATGATTATAGCACTATGCTTTGGGCCAGTTTTGGAGAGCAGCTGGTGGCACTGATGGCAGAAAATCAAGAATCTATAGGCAACTTAACGCAAAATGTGGCCTTGGGTCCATTGTTCTTATGGTCTGATTTTCTTTTGATGGTTGTTGTTCGCATGATGGAGTCACTACGTCTGTCAGGTAAGTTTGAAAGAGTACAGGGGACATCTGAGAAGTAAAGGAAGGTTTGAATAAGAAAGTAGAGGGGAAAAAAAACAAGGAGGAAAACATTTCCTTTACTAGCAGTTTATCCAGAATATGAAAATACAAACTGTTGAGTTATCTTGAATGAAGAAATTATTAATTTTTGCTTGAAATGTATGCAATTATACCCAAATGTGTGATAAATGTAGAAAA